TGAAAGTGAACAAGTATTCAATCACAAAAACTCTGGGAACTGCACAGACAGTGACCATTTTGAACTCCAATCTTCAGACAAGAGATTTAAAACTGTAACATACAAGTGAGCTAAGGTCAAGGAAAGCTGGCCTGGTTTAAATGTGTTACTGTGTGCTGGAGTGTACTTCCCATACCAAATTCTCATCCAGTTAGGAAGATATTCCTATGAAAGTCTTAACTGGAATTCTGGAAAATTGCCATGACAAATGACAATGTTGTAATATATAAAAATTATAGGCCAACCTATTATGAGACATATTTGCATGATGACCTTTTAACAAATGACTGAACTTCCATCCAAGCATATGCTTAAGAGCAACTAAACAACGGAGATCAAGAAAGTTAAAAGTTAAAAATGAAAAGTGTCTGCTCAGCTTTTTAAGTGCAATCCAGGAGATCAGCCCCGTATTTGAAGCTTTTGGTTCAAGAGTTCAGATTACTCAACATACCAGTGGAAACTGAGTCCCATTATTGTGTTTGCATCTCCACAACACTAAGGGTAAAATCCGGTGCTCGGGGAGCTTTCAAATTTTTTTGGCAGCAATGGGATCTTAAACTGTTCATTCCTACCCCATGACGTTGTACTGGCACGTCTCCATGGTACCAGCACAACAAGTTTTTCCTGCCCAGTTATTTTTAACCAGTATCAGCTCCCGAAGTTCGATGCAACACATGGGCTGCAAGCACTGCTGTAACTAAGAACCTGGTGTAGAATGAACAACAGGGGCTCCTTAAGATGGGTCTACTGCTATAATAAACAATTCTCAAATGGTAACTTCAGATTGCAAGCAGCACGTTAGAATTCCCAACAGATTTGTGGCTCTCATATTCTGTGTTTAATGCTGAAGAGAAAATTCTAGACCAACAAACCTCGTAGAAATGCTACATGGGTTTCATATCTCAATTTACATTAGTCTGCAAAATCAAACTGTACGGTCAAGCTCAAGAGTTTTCATGTAGACCAACTACCAAAACTGAAGCATCAAGGAAGCTTCAAATTCTGCTAAATATAATAAGTAAAGGTATTAATTTTAAATCTGATGTGTAAGCTGGGGAAAAAGCAGTATGGCAAAAGCTTAAGATCTTCCTTTATCTTTCTCCTCAGCTGTCTTTTTCCCAAAATAAAAATAGGAAAGAGCAATGTTTTGTGAAGTAATATACCAAGCCAGCAAATACTTACTTCTGTGCTAATGCTGCATGAATTCTTCTATACATGTAACACTCTACGTACAGCCAAGGGGACTGAAACCAACTTGGTTCTCCATTTCCATTTGGTAAATTTCGTTGGTAGTCCAGGTATTTGTTCCACAGCGCAGCATCGGGCAACTCATCTTCCAAAGGGGTCACTGGCTTATCTGTTTGCAGCTCATTCCGCAGTTTGGAGAGGAAAGATATGGCTCTCTTCTCTGCTTCAACACCCTTCTGAAAAAGTGGAGAACAAAAGTTCCTATTCTGTACCTTTATTCCTGTAAAGACACAGATCAACTGTTCATGGAATGTGCAAAGTTTTAATTGCCATATGAGAGTCCCTCACAAATCACAGCTTGATTAAACGAAATATATTTTGGTGAATAAAGCTCATTTCAGATCCAAGATCCTAAAATGAATTCCACAGGGGACTTCTTTTCAGATTGGACTTTTTGCTAATTAGAGGTGACAAGACTGTTGAAACACAGTCATGTTCAGAAGGTGTTACTGTCTATCAAACACTGCATCAACACAAAAACCCAAGTAAGTGATGCAGTTGCATAAGTGACAGATCAGAAGCAAAAGGTTAGACAGAAAGGTGTGTCACAGAACTAATCAAAAATAGCTACTAGAAAGAAATTATTTTTTTTTAAAAATCAGACAAAAGGATTGAGACAAACAAGCCTCACCAATAAAAACAAGGCAGAGAAAATGTCTCAAGGGCTAGTGGGGAATAAGCATCAGGGGAAATAGGGACCTCACTCTTACCTCACCATGTTCTTCAAAAAATTCATTTTTATGTCGATGCAAAGTATCAATAACTTTTGTGAGGATCTGGGGAAGTCTGTCTTTAATCGTAAAATATGCATAGGATCTGAAAAAGAGAGGATCAGTATTTTATTATTGCAGCAAAGGATGAAATTGCTTCAATTTTTAAAAACAAATGCAAGCTCTTTGTACTACTTTGGACTGGGGTAGAGTTCATTTTCTTCACAGTAGCTGATATGGGGGTTGTGTTTTAGATTTGTGCTGGAGACAGTGCGAACAACACAGGGATGTTTTCCTTATTGCTGCGTAGGGTTTGCACAGAGCCAAGGCCTTTTGTGCCTCACCCCACCCCACCAGCGAGCAGGCTGAGGGTGCACAGGGTGTTGGGAGGGGACACAGCCAGGACAGCTGGCCCTAACTAACCCAGAGGCTATTCCAGACCACATGGTGTCATGCTCAGTGGTGGAAATCAGGGGGAAAAGTTGGCCAGGGAGCCACTGCCTAGGCATCTGTAAGTTCATGGTGAGCAATTGCTTTCCTTTGCCTTACTTGGTTTTCTTGGGTTCTATTCATCTTTGCTCTTTTCATTACGATTTATTCTCATTTCAATTATTAAACTGCTCTCAACGCCCAAGCTTCCTCATTTTTACCCTTGTCATTCACTTCTCTCCACCCCGCTGAGCTATGTGATGCTTTGCTGCCAGCTGGGGTTATAACACAACATTTTGTATTAAAAATCACTTGATGTGCCCTTAGAGCAGTGGACAGCAAAAAAAAAAAAGAAAAAAAAAACCAAAACCAAAACGAAAAAGATTTTAAACTGGTCAGGTTCTTGTGCTTACTTTTGCAGAAGATGATAAACAGTAGCCTTTTCAAGGAAGAAAAAGCTGTATGACTGGCCCTGACATACCAGCAAAAAATTGCACTTAATTCTAGGCCAAAACGCGACCTCTATTGCTAAGATACCGAGATGCAAAACCTGGGAAATGTAAAACTAAAAGCACAGATATCTGCTCGAATTTTATCACGTATCTCATCAACAAGAAAAGCCGGCTCCATTATATACTTGATTTACATTTTCTCCAACCGCTCTTTATGTACGAGGACAACGAGCAGGACGCGGCCAGCCGCACAGAGCGCACACCGGCCCGCAGGACGATTTTCACTGTGACATTTCTATGCACCGGGTGGAGCCGCGGAGCCGGGCAGCAGCACGGGCAGCCCGGCAAGGGGAGCCCGG